GCTATAAATAGGGGGATATCTATACGTAGATATACTTCGACAGGAGTATACTAGCGATTACTTTTCTGTGCATTCTAGCTGTCTTCCTGTTCTCCTAGAGCTCCAACCCTGTAAGGAGTTCTCCACATGAATGGCCAGAGTGGCGATTCCCCTTCTCCCTTGGCCAATACTTTAATGCTTACTTAGCATAGTTTATCGCTTTCGTCTTACAGTTTTGTAGAATTAGAACTTCCAGTTTTAATAGTAAGTAATGAAATATCATTCAGTTCTTCATCTCTACTTCTTCCACACTTTTTCACACTTATATAAATCCTGATTGTAAAGAATTTCACTTCACTGTTTAGAGCACAGAAAAATTGATTATATTTTCAGGATAGTTCAATGTAGTTAAGTACGTGGGAGTCTTATCGACTTGCTAAACTATTGGTTTAAATTCAGTTTTGATTAAAAAGAGGTAACAGAAGGGTAAAGCCACTAATGAGGCAGAATTTGGAATAATTAATGGGCATAGGCGGTGGTCTATTAAGTCGCAGAAATCAGTAGAGTTTCTTTCTTATAATGTTCCGATTCTGGGTGTCATTGAAGTCTTGTTGTAAATCCTTTAAGGTCAAATACCAGTTAAAAAAATCATCTATAATCTGGTTTATATATTTACATCATCTCTTCCCCGCTTTCATATTATACATATATGTCCGCTTAAACACCAACATCGTTCGCTCATTTCATCCAAGAAAACTTAGCCATTAAGTAACGCACAGTGCAGACACAACATTCAGATACAACACCTCTCTCTCACTCTATACCGTCTCACTCTATACCGCTTAAATATATATATATATATACATTGTGCTATCCGCTTATGTCCCCTTCGTTCGACCATCATTGGCACTCCACCGCTCACCTCCGCTCCGATCGCCTTCGCTCACTTTACCACTTCTACTTACAGTTTTTAGTAGAATATAAATTTTGATCCGCTGCAAAACGGATCCCTCTACTGCATTTTCCGCCGCTTTTATAAGATCTGCACTCGATTTGAAATTCGTGACTTAAAATCCCTGTGTTCGACTTGGAAACTCACCCGTTAAAGAGTATAAATAATTATGATAACTATTCAGGGTCTACAACCATCAATGTTACCATCAATGTTTACCATATCTGATCATTTTCCATAATCCACCACGTTATTTTCTTCGAATGAAAATTCTCATGCATATACACTTAACATCAAAAATTTTAGTTATCAATGGCGCACCGGATAAATCAGCCAAGAGGGCTCGAGCTGGACCCTAAAAGGAAATAAAAGAAATCGATCACATCTCCATTACCACATAGTTTCATTACAAGTTAAGGACAAAACCATGCCGCGGATATCACCTGCACGGTGTTATTAGCAAGATCGAGCATCCAAAATCCGATTACAAAGACAAAAGCTGCCCTAACTCGAGTGCCTTTAAATGTGTTGCATCTCATTGAGTCGATTAACCACATTGAAATACAATAATATAATTCAATGCAACACAATATATGTTAGATTTCGAGAAGTTGAAGGACCTGCAATGGTCCTTCGTAGGCCTAAAAGATAACCGATGTCTGCTGAAAATCCGATTATTACAACCTATGTCAAACAACTTAGTGTAGTAGTTGTAAGTATAACACATAGCCGGCCCTCGACAAGTTAGCGCAAACATTAGAACTTATATTACTTACAGAAACAGAGATCATGACCGATCCTAGGAAAATAAATGGTGGTCGTCTACCGTATTTTGAATGGCATTTATCACTCCATATACCTATACATGGTTGAACCTGAATTGTAAAGAAAGCATTATCCAATCAATCTTTACAGTTAGAATCATATGTAATTCACAGATTCCATCCATTGAACAAGTTTTCAAGAACATTCATTCTTACAATTACAAATGCAACGACAAGAAAAACATATCGAACAAACATACCACAAGACCTGTAATGGGGCCACAAAGCCATATAAAAGAAGAGAACTCATGGCCTATTCCAAGGGTCTGCAAAAACACACAAAGAGAATCAGATAGAAATTGAATGAAAATTTCAATTTCTAAATCGATCGAATTGGGTAGAAATTAGGGCACAATTGATTTTGCCTGAATGTAAGGGGTAAGAAGGGAGAGCTGGAGAGCCCAACCGAACTGTACGCCGCCGGCGATCACGGAGCTAAGAATCAGCGTCAATAAGGTGTTTCCGCGGCGGGGCGGAATCACCGGCGGCGGAGGAAGAAGAGCGGCGCCGTTGCTCCGATTCGTCGACGCCCACCAATTCCACTTCCTGCTTCAGGTTTCGGTACGGCAATCGCAGCGAAACTGCATCCATTCTCGACGGGAATCGAGCGAAACCCTAAAAAAACGATCGAGGAATCCCGTAAACGTGATGCGTGTCAGAAAAAATAGAGAATGGTGGGAAAGCATTGGAGACGACGAAGAACAGAGAACTGGGCTGCGATGATCAATTTAGGTATGGAATCAGATGGCCAAAAAAAAAGAAAAAATTTAAAATTAAAATTAATCGAGTCTTTTTCAATGATCTTTATTCAGTTAACGGTAATTGATTAATGAAGAAGGGGGAAAGATTCTGATCATTTTGATAGGTCTTGAATTAGAATTTAAGCTCCATCGAAGATATTTATATTTTAATTTTTAAAACATTTTAATAAATAATATTTTAAGAATAAATAAAAAAAAAAATTCTTTTAGAAATTAATTTTTTGAAACGAATAAACTATTTAAAAATACTTAAATTAATTTTTTAACTGTTCAAATAACTAAAGTTCTTAAATAAATTAAAAATTATTCAAAAATTTCTTTGCCCAAACACTCTTTAAATGAAATCAGTCCACAAGAATCAACCTTTCGATGTAATTAGTGAATTTTTTTTCATCATATTTAATTTAATCACAAAATTAATTTAGAGGCCTTTTTTTAAAAAAAAATTAATAGATATGTAAGGGTAAAAAAAATGATGGTGTGAAATAAAAAGATATGTATTGTTGTAAAGAAAACTACGTGCAATAGTGTATACTATTTTTAACATAAAAAAAAACAATTTTCTTAATAGATTGGTATACTTAAAAATTATTGAATGATGATATTAATATGTTCAATGTTATATTTATATATGTATTAGTTCATTATTTTTATTATTAAATATATATATATTTATTTGTCTAACTATTTTTTATGAGATACAATTCTCAATATATATATATAATATATATTTTTATTATTTTATAAAATATTTAATATAAAATATTAATTTTTATATTAATGATACGATTATTTATAATTCATATAAAAAAAATACATAAAAAAAAAAACACTAGACAAACATTGTCATTAAGGGAAAATGCTAATACTTATTTAAAATCAATGAAAGTATTAACTATATATATATATTTAACGTGTTCTTCTACCATTTTTTTTTTTTATATCTTTCATGATTAATGTTATAAAAAATATAATATATTTATATTTTCACAAAATATATAATATACGTATTTTTTTAATAAAAAACTAAAATATTTAACATAAAAAAATCTATTAATTTTTATATTATTACAAATATATATATATATATTATATTTCATACTAAAATACTCTTTCCATCCTAAAATAATAACTTCATTTGAGTTCGACACAAGATTTAAAAAAGAATAATATTATATTAAAAATGAGTATAAGATAAATAGTAAAAGATTAAAATATCTTTACGACTGTATTTGTGTAAAAAGTAATGACATTTATATAATAATAATAATAATAAATAAGAATAATTTTATTGTGACGGAACAAAAATAGAAAAAATAAAATTATTATTTTAGGAATGATGGGGTATCTCTTCTTAAAGCACAAAACTAGAACACCCATAATTTGCTTATACTATATATATTTAAAAAATAGGATATAATATAATTTAATAAAAAATCGCCTTTAATTTTCACTACAAAAAAATAATATATTTGTAACGGAATTCCGTCCCTAAAGTTCACGTAGCTAACGTAATTCCATTACTAATTCCGTCTCTAATGTCATTAGTAACGGAAAAAGTAGATTTAGAGACAAAAAAGTTTTGTTACAAAAATTATTTTTTTTTGTAGTGTTTTAACTAGATTCAATGATGTTATGTATATATATAAAATAAAATATTTTTTATTACATGTAAAATTTGTTGTAACCTGATATTAGTAAGTAATACTACTTAAATAAATGTTTTTTTTTTTTTCAGCTGCAAACAATAATCCAAGATCATGACATATATATACATATATATATTATTAAATTTATGTCGTTTATTTAATTATTCATTAGCTTGTGGAGTATACGTTTTATAAATGAAGTCGATACCCCATGCATGCATGCAATCGTTATACCCTAATAATAATAATAATAATAATAATAATAATAATAATAATAATAATAAATTGAATAATTAAAGAAATGAAATTATAAATCTTTACGCTCCTGACAAGTTCAAATATTTTAATGCCGAAAAACATAAAATACTTTTAGTTTGTCGAGTAGTCAAACAACATTTTACTTGTTATTAGTGCACACTTGTTGACTTTCTATTTGTATTCTCACATTCATATATATATATATCTTTATCTTCTTCTTTATACATATATATATATATATACATATAACAAGAACAATTGCAATACCCATAAAGTTTGGAACTAAAAAAAAAAAAAAAACCGTAGCTAAGCTAGCTAGGGGGATTGTAATGTGTAAAAGTGTGCAAATACTTTTCATGTATTTTTGTTATTAATTTATAGTGTGAATTAACAAAAAGATGGTGATAATTAATTGTATATAATATATATATATATAGAGAGAGAGAGAGAGAGAGGGATCAGTACATATACATACATGTGTTAAAATGGCAGTATAGTAGCCCATGATCATCGAGCAAGGAAACCCTAGAAATTAAAAAGGAGGACGAGGAGGAGGAGGTAGGAACATGAATGGATATTGATGAACATTAATTATATATATCTTGGAAACAAAATAATACAGCAGTAATTAATTAATTAATTATGATTAATTGAAAATAAAGAATGAATGAATCACATAAGCAAGCTCCTAATAATGGCTGCTTGGGCACTGTCACTGTCAGTGGTCTGGAGCAGGTGGGAGAGGCGTTCGCTGAGGTCGTCCACTTCCCTGTGCAGGTTCCTTATGTAGTTGCACGTCTCCTGCAACACCTTCGAAGCCGACGCCTAATTAAGAAAGAAACAATGAATTAGCATATATATATATATATACATACATACACTAATGGAGTATATATTAGGTATAGAGAGAGAGAGAGAGAGAGAGGGTATACCACCTTGTGGTCGGAGCTGCTGCTGCGGCGGCGGGAGGAGTTGCGGATCTCAGGGATGAGCTGCTGCAGCTTGGAGACGAGATCGGCGATCTGATCGTCGCTTATTCTGGAACTTCCTGCTGCGGCCCTGCTGCTCCTCGATGATCGTCTGCTCGACATTATATTCTTGTTTGTTATAGATATAGAGATAGACAGTGTGATATATGTATGTGGGAAGTAGAATAGGCAGGCCTGTAGGTAGATAATGTGTTGTGTGTATGTATAGGAGCTCACAATGATCGATTTAAGTGAAGTCAAGTGAAGCTAAGCTAGAAAAGTGTGTTCCTTTATATATATATATATATATATTATGTAGGGTAGAGAGAGAGAGAGAGAGAGAGAGAGATTAAAAAGAGAAGAAGGTGGCCGGGGAGCTGAGGGAGTGTTGGAGGTGATGAAGACAAGTGCATGCGACCAAGGATATCCCCTTCCTCTCTCTTTTCTTTTTAATTAATACACACATTCATATATATATATATATAAGAATTGAGCCCATTTCTGATTTTTTTTTTTTTAAATAATGTGAAAATTTGCAATTGTTATTCGACGATTGTATTATGAGTAAATTCACCGTTAAATTTAATATCTTGCAAACGAGGTGTAATCAGACAAATTATACTAAACGAATCATGAGTCGATTCTTGAACATCGATGGTCGAGAGTAGAGTAGTTTGTGTTTGTGGGCCTCTCTTTGTTCCACTCTCTCCACGCACTCCCATGTTACTGCATTTAATTTCTCCCTCTCTCTCTCTCTCTTCAGACACACATTTGTAATAAGTTATTTCCCTCCATTCACAAATTAATTAATTAATTACGTGTATTTTCGTACAAAGTGGGGAATTCATTTAAAACAAAAGGGTTTGTTTCAAAACCCCATATCTCAACCTTTTATTATTTGAATTCTGAGTTTCACAAAATATATATATGTATATATATTTTATCTTATAATTATTTTAACATTAAATTTAAATCAAAAATTTTCAAGCTATATGTGAAAAGAAACATACTCAAAACTATATATCCATGTAGGAACATACCAATGTGGGTAGCTACCTAATTCATTTTAATCGGTAGATAAATCTACACAATCATACCGGGTATTTCATTTATTATTATTATTATTATTATTATTATTATAAGTCGATAAGATTTCACTTAGTTTTTTGCCTTTTGATTAGCTAGTAGTATAGTATGTATACGAGAATAGGAGTCACAATTGTTGACCATAAATTAGATTAGATTAAATTAAATTAGAGGTTAGTGTAGCTGATGATGCATGAGATCATCCTTCCATCTTACACGTGCTCTCACTAATCATACTAAATTAATTAATTAATTTTAGCTAATTAATATCAATATATATATATATATAATATATGCTTCTTAATTAAATTAATAATTTGTTTATTTTATTCACTTCGATCCTCACCAAAGTAGCTAACCTAGCTAGCTACGTATTAAGACAAAATCCAAGCATGATTTAATTTGATTAATAAATTACCAAAGTAAAACAAAGCATTCACGATACACGAGATCTTATTTTGCTTCCTCGTCTCTATCTCTATCTTATAATATATATATTCATGGTATTAATTAATTAATTAATTATTTATTTATTTAAATAATAGTATGTACTAAAAATCACTTTTTAACTAGCACTTAATTAAATTAAATTTAATTTAGAGCATTGGGAGCAGGAGAAGAGAGCGCACGTGACAAGGATATGGTGCAGGTGCAGTATTACCCGGCGAGATTCCTGCCTATGTTTCTAATTTATTTATTAATTTATATATTTTTATTTAATAATTAAATTAAACAGTAAACACAATGGGATATCTATCTATATATTATTTTATTTAATTTTTGCTTTGGAGTTCGAGCAGATAGATGCTTCTTGCCCCCTTCAGTTCTCCTTATTTTGACTACCTTTATTTATTTATTTTTTTTAATTAAATTAAATCAATATTGTTTGTAGAAATTTCGAGTTGAGGTACAAATTACAGCCAGTGTGCCTGCCAATGCCACGTGAAAAGAATATTAGGAACAAATTATGATTTATTTATTTTTAAAAATAAAAATAAAAGACACATAAGTGCTAATATTATATATATATATATATATTTATCAAATAATTCCCGTAGTTAATTGTGCCGAAATACGTGCTTAATCATACCCACGTGCACTTCTAACTCATAATAATACTGTTGCAATCTAATGTCGGTACGTGCCCAAATTCATATACACAAGTAACAACTAATAATAATTATTAATTATTATTTGTTTATAAATATTTGATTTTACATATAAATATATATTTATATTTCTTAACTAATTGAAGTTTGTATTTATGCATATATAAATTAAAATTTAAAAAAAAAAAGAAAAGATTATTGAGATCCGACTCGTTAAAACTATAAGACAAATGGGAATTAGGGAATAATTTTCGATATCTTGGTGACAGCATTTATAATTAACAATTAAAGAATTAGTACAGTAGTATCTTCTTAATTTATTTATTTTTATTTTTTTAAAGCTGCCAAACTTTGTCAGTGTTTTGTAGTAATTAATCTTAATTCGTTGTCGTAATTAAATTGACAAAAAACAAGAAAGCAATAATAGAGCAGTACGGACAGGGGTTAATGAATAATGATCAAGTTGGCATAAGATACCTCTTTGGAGATTAATATAATATATATATATATATATATATTTGGATGTAATAAATCAATTGAGTGAATATATTTAATTTTTGATAATTATTATAAAGTTATAATATACTAATAGTAAATATATTGTGTAGAGACAAATAAAATAAAATAAAATAGAATTTAGGGGAGCACCGTACGTGAAGTCACATGAATAATTTGTCAAATTTATTGTCCCGCAAGTGCCATGAAAATAAATTTTTTTCCGGAGTCACAACATCTAACGTGCATGGAATATCTAGTATAAATTTTGCTACTATTTTTTATATTTCAAGTTTATAAAATTTAAAATAAAAATTAAGTTTAATATTATTAATACAAATATAAAAGATAAATATGATATGCAGTGACAGAACCAATCCTCAGTCGATATTTATACCGATTTGGCATTGTATTTTCCAATTCTCTTTTCCACGATAATAAAAAAACGAAAAAGAAAATTCATTTTGTTCTACTTTATTAGATTAAATTGTTAGTATTTAAATTTATTTATTTGATACTCCGTCCCATCCCACTTCAAAGTATTCATTTCCTATTCTTTAGTAAAAATAATTATACATCAATATCAAAATGAACTACAAGCATACCATTATAAGTGTAATTAATTTTTATTGTAGCAAAAATGTCAAAACCTTCTTACACACTTGACTAATAAAATATTGTTTATTTTTAATCTGCTACAAAATCTGAAAAGACTCTTTCGAGAGGGAATATTGTTTATTTATTAGCTCTAATTTTATTATTAATAACATGCAATTCTCAAATTATACAAAAATATAACAAATACAATCAGTATCCACATGAAAATGTCTGGAAACGATTAATCGATCGATCAATCAATCAAAGTAGAAATCATAAGATAAAAACATAGGAACATAATTGAGGTGCGAGCTTAGCATTCTTCAAATGGGGGCCACGCGCCCGTCACGTGATTGGGAGGAGTGAAGCTGAAACATTAATGTGAAAGTGCTAACACAAAATCTTGCATCTAAGATCAAGAAAACAAACTAATCATCGACATGGTTCTTTTGTTATTTAGCGATGAATGTTCGATGCCGACACAATTGGGGCAGATCTTGCCCAGTTATATATACACAGACAAGGTTAAAAGTTAAAACAAATCACTACACCGCTGCTCAGATCATATCAACAACAATGTACAACCATAAAAGCTCAAACACGGCCCCGATGACCGATCACAGGATAGGACAGGACAGGACACGTTCGGACAAAGTTAAAACGAGATGGAAAGATGGGTTTGAGGTTGATCAGATGCCCATACCTGGCTGGCGATCAGTCGAGGTGAATCCGAATGGCATCACCTGCATATGGTTGTGGATAGACCCAACATCCCATGTAGATGAAAATTACGATAGACAATGTCAAAAAACATGGACCACCCTAAGCCTGCTCGCCCAACCACCCCAGACATAACATACATACATACATACGCCCAAAATCGTCCAGCAGCCTCGACCATGTGATGTGTTCCCACACCACTTTCAGTTTCAGATGCATTCTGCATTCGATTGGGGTTAGGTTCGTCCCCAACTACATCATTTAGTGAGATTTTCTACTGGATTTCACCTTTTTTTGTCGTAAAAAATTGAGTGCCTATCAGATACTCCATAACTCAAGTCAAGAAAAGAGATTCTTCACTAGTAAATTGATTGCATCAGTTCAATCATTGCTGCATTTCTCGAAGGTTTATTTCGAGAAATACATGTCAGTGTTATCTACAAGCATGCCTTTCAATCAAGAACTATGTTCCAATGACCCCAGCCAGGCACCTGAATCTGAAAGACTGAAACTATAAACAGGTAGCCAACGACTCGGGCAAGGATAAAGTGAGGTATAGCACATTGTGTCAGATATCCAGGTTTGGGTCTACATGTAACAGTTTGGAACAAGTCAGATCAGGTTGAATAATTGATGTTTCATTCAGGAACACAAAGATTGTGCATCCATAACAAATGTTTCGACATTAGCAACTTCCAACAAAGCAATTCAATTAACATTTGTAGAATAGTTCATGTAGGTCAGCAAACTTCAAGATTCTTGAATATACTCAATACATGATTGTCTCACCAAAATGTGAGTTGGCTGGCTAATGATTTCATAACAATCGACAACTCAACGAAAAATTCAAGCCAAGAACTTAACTCATTATTGTGAAGAAAAGCGAAGAGCAAGACAATCCAGTTAGAAAGGTATGAGATAATTCAATGGATCTATAAATGCCAAACATGTCACTTAGATTCAATATATTCGAGATATTTCTTCCTCGCAAGCCAGAGGCTTCGACACTGATCGATTCTTTAGCATTAAAACAACAGACTTACACATAGTACCTTGATACAGTTGAAATTAGCCCAATTCAGTACATCTTCCTTCGAGGGAAATGTTAGTAACAAGAAATCAATCAAGGGTTAGTGCAATGACGGTGAGATCAAATATGACTTCTGTAGCTAGTAATTCTGAGGCTCTTAGAACAATATATAATCTTGTACAAAGTTTGTTATCTGCTCGGAAACATCATTTCTACAGTATAAACCCTATTCAAATCCAATCCTAATTACTCATTGCAATCCAATCCGTCCAAACCAACAGAATACCTAATCTTTCTCCAATTCACTTACTAATTCAAATCAAACTTTACAATCTAGAGCATAGATTGAGACTTAAACACGCAGAGCTA